CTCCAGCTGTGGTGAAATCACAAATCCCATCATGCCTGTGGTCATTTTTACAATGCCTCATGAGACTTGTAGTTTCACCACAGCTGGTTGCCTTCCATGATTTATGAGTTGCATGTATATATGTGTTCATTAACATATATTTGCTGTCTCTCTTGGTGTGATATGGATTATTATCCTGACTCTCCATTTCTAATTGATTTTGATTAGACTAAAATTTCTGCCTGGTGATTTACTTTGGGTTTAGCCTTGCCTTATTTGGTTGTTACTATGGTTTGAGGTATCATAATCCAGTTCTAGAAGATTCATTACCTCTATGTGAACAAACAAAGAGCAAGGCTGATCTTCATACGTGGACGGCGGTTCGCTGAGTGTTTGTAGATAATTGAGGACATGGTATGTTGACTATAGCCTCAATTATTAATAAATGGGAAGTGATTTACATCACCTCCTGTTCATTCATGATTGTGGTTCTAGTAAAACACACTATGTTCTCAAGTTATGAATGAACAGGAACACTCTGTATTGAGGATTCCTGTTCATTTATAACAGGGGATGCAGAAAAGGAGATTGAGGACTTTGTGTCAATCTTTTTTTTCTATTTTAACCTTCTTGGCGGTATTCCCGACTAATTTTCTGTACCATAAGCGGTAACCTCGAGCCACACTCGGGAATACAGCGTAGCGTCTCTTACCTTGTCCCTCGAGCCGCTCTGTGTCCTCCGGCCGATGCCGTCTTCTGGGTTCTGTCCCTTGCAAGTGTTTGCGTCGCAGGGGGGCAGAACCGGCTAGATTTTTGAAAGTGAAAAAAAATAGAACGAAAAAAGGAAAGGAAAAAAAAAACCATACCACCAGGGAGGTTAAAAGGGAAATAGCAAGGGTCTGTTTTGGCCCCCAATATTTCCCCGAAGTCCTGAAATGTAAAGTAAAAAATATTTAATAAAAAAAAGAATAAATATTACAAAAAAATAAACATTTTTGGGTTCGGCCTGACATTTTTTTCATTTCGATGCACCTCTACTCTTAAGGGCTTGGACAAAAATGTAAAGAAATACTTTGCTGGGCAATGTATATTTGTTTCATCTGGATTCATTATTGAGAGTGTTTAAGAGTTAAATACTACTTTCAAGAAAGTTCAGTTCCAGTATCACAAATTGAATGGGAGTGATGACTCACTTTAAACATGCAGCTTAACAGGCTTCACCAGCCTTTCAACAAGGTTCCTGAGAAAGACCAAATGCCTCTTTTTGTATTTAGATTGCGAGCTTTACCCAGATTAATACAAAATAAAAAAGCTCCTGCCACTGCCATACAGTGTATGATCCCAGCAAATGACATCATGCAACAAGTGTTTTATTTCTCAGTACCGTGTTCTGGTGACCTGTGTGCTTCTTCCTCTGAGCGTCTGGAATGACACCACGCAGAGGCAGCACACACATTTACCATAAGTGAGCCCATGGACCCTCATTGTTGTGGGGATTACTAGAGACGCGTCAGTTCCATACAAGTATCATGAGATTGCCCATCTGCATTCTTGCATTTGGACTTAAACAATCAGAGGAAATCCAAAAGAAGTCGACAACATCATAGATAGACATGAAGTAAAAAGCAAGGAAATAATGTCTTGAGGCTGGAACAACATTCCTGGCTGCATGGCTGTTTCCTTAGTTCCAAGTAAAAATAAGGGGTTCTTCTAGAAGATGGGCATTGCTGACTATTCCTGATCAATTCACAGCAAAGAGGTCTTTATAGAGGATGTGCCTCACACAAAATGTGACTAACTCTCCAAAATAGTACTATACCTTCAACCACACCATGTCATGTGAGATGTGACTAAGAACAAGGTTAGAACTTGTAACACTGAGAAGACTAACTTTCTTTAATACAAGATCTGTGAATTTACATATAACAATTAGAAAGTCCATCAGGTTGTTCTGTGAGGTTTTCCCAGCGACATATAAAGCTGCGCAATATAAGGGGATTGCATATTCTCCTTTGCTCATGCTTTCCCCTACAATTCAAAAGTATACCAATTGTATAAGGGGTCACTTTATAACAACATTCAGCAACTTCTGTGGAGGGAAGTTAACTGCACTACCCACCCTGACCTGGCAAATCTAACAGTCGCTACACTTTGGGCATAACACTACCTTGTACAAACAACTGTCTAAAGTGGCAAATCATTGATTTTTACAATGAAAATGCAGTTATTTCCCATAGGAGCAAGAAGGTTGCCACCCCATTTCTTCCTAAAGACTTTGGACTTCTTATCCATTTACTGGATTGTTTAAAGAAGAACTCTGGGCGGATTACAAAGTAACACTTGCAATGGGGCTACCCCTGCACTGCAAGGGTTAAGTGTTTATTTTGGTCTAGGATCTTAATTAAAAAATATATACTGTATTCTCCTAATCCTCCATCCCGCCTGGCTGTTAGACCTGTCCCCTCAGCCTCTTCCTCCCCAGGCTCCGGTGGTCTAAGCCCCACTGACATCCTCTTGTTTACTACAAGTCCAATGACTTGCATTGGATGTGAGGACGCCAAGGGACGTTCTACAGCTGAAGTGGAGGGGGAAATAGGTGAGCAGTCACTGCCACAGGATCAAGGATCAGGTGGATATATCTTTTTATTTTAGACCCTAGACCAAAATGAGCACTTAA